AAAAATTATCAAGAGCTTTCTGTTTTTATTTAAATCTTATCATAATTCAATATTATATTTAAAAATGAATAAACAAATAAACCTTAAGTCACTTGCAAAAGATTGCCTTGCATTTTTAGTTGCTTATTTGAAAAATATGAACAAGAAGGTTTAAAAAAATGCGAAACTAAAGAATCTCAAACATGGCGACATGCCAGTGGTTCAAAAGCAGCTAATCATCTTGCCCTCTTTTATGATTTCTTTCCTGAATTATCTTCTCTTAAAAATTCTCTAACGTCATATTCTATTTGTGAGAGTCACTACAATCAAATAATTACTACTGATCAACTTTATAATTCTCTTCTAGAACAAGATAAAGAATATGACAATAGTATGAATTCAAATAAATTCAGGTTTTAATATTTAATTATTTTTAAAGATATTTTATATTATTTATATATCACTAAATTTTTTGAGTTAATAAAAATATAGATATTAACATGCAAAGTTATGAGATTCTTAATGAAGAACTTAAAAAAACTGAAAATTTGTTGAATAAATATAAAAAAGAATATGAACAGAATATGTTATACACTTCAAACCTTACTATCCAGGTCAAAAAACTTCAACAGGAATTAAATGAATTGTCCTATAAATATCAAATGTTAGAAGAGAGTAATAAAATTCTTATTGATAAATTGAACAAAAAATTTGATACCCATGAAAAAAGGGTTGAAGCTATTATTGAGATTGCTTTAGCAGAGCGTGAAAATTTTTTTAATGATGTGGATTCATTATTTAAAAATACTGATAGATTTTCATTAGAAAATTTATTAAATTACAATCCTGAGTATTGGTTAAGCAAATGAAATGAAGTCATTGTCAAATTTATTGAAACTTTAACACAAAATGAATATTATGATGATGACTCAAATCAAACATAAGCTTTTAAAAGAGCAATTGCAGTTGATGCAATATATGGCTCACGATATAATAAATATGTATCTGAAATTAGCTTGCTTGCATCTTCCATAAAATATTCTTTAGCACATTCAAAAAAAATCATTAACATAGATAATTATATCACTAGTGGAGGGAGTTATTCTCGATTCCTAAAGTGGTTGGATGATTTATCAAAAGATCAAGAGCCTCTACCTGAAGGACTTCTATTTCTTGCTTTTGACAATGGGCAAAAAGGACAAAAAAATTATCTTGACCATGGATTTAATACTGTAATCTACCATATAGTTACTAGTTTTGTAGCATTTAATATGGATTCAAAAAATATGTCACAACATGAATATGATCCTTGGTTGCATAAATCTCTCTCACAATTACAGTACAAATAACTTTTTGATCTTACACCTCAAATGCAACAGGAATTTGACAATTAATAAGTTAAATGAAGAAAAATCACAACTGACCAACAATATTGATAACCTTATAGAAAATACCTCAAATATCAGTAGTAGTAAATATTGTCTAAACTGTAATGAGAAAAATATTGACAACAGAAAAAAAAATTGTCCAAAATGTTATTCGCCTTTGCCAACTTTAACTGAATTACAAAAAAATTTTGAATCTATAGTTGAAGAAAAAAATTTATCAGACAAATCAATGAAAGAAATTATCTTTAAACCATATAATCCTGAAAATGAATCTAAAATTGCTTCCTTACCACGAATAAGTTATACACAAAATTTGATTCCTGATCAAGATGTTCAGACCCCTGATATTTATGTTCCTGATCCATTAAATATTAATCCTAATTCTATAGTAAATGTTGAGAAGATTCTTAAACATATAGAAAAAATATCAGGAATTAAGGATGGAGTGCATAAATGGATATCTGTAACATGTGATGGAATTCCTTATCATCATGCATGTAAAATTAAGGAGAAATTTCCTTGGTTGGTTCTTATACCTGGCCAACTACATGAAGAAATGAATATGCTTTGTGCATATGTTGAATTAAATTGGTATTTATATTTATCATTACAAAAATTTTTTAATAAGTTCACATATAACTAATTTTAAATATACTTACTATTTAATTAGGGAAATTGATATTAAACAATTTGCAATAGGCCAAGGATATATATCTGATAAGCAACTATCTTTTTTTAAAAAATGTGGCAACCATCATAAAGCATGGGATTCCATATGTAATATATATCATGAAGCAATGACTCTAGAACTTGTATGGCCATATGTAAAAACCCATTCAAATTTATCAGTTCATAATTACTTAGCTTGGGCTAAAAAACAAGAAGATCCTATTTATCAATTAAAATTTGAACAAGTATTATTTAATTATTATTATAATTTTTAGAAAAGAAAAAACTAATACTTTTATTTTATAAATAGATATTTTATTATTTACAAACAATTATTTGTTACTGAACAGCTATATGTACCAACCATCCTCTATTAAAAAGCACAGCACAGAGAGTATTTGCACCTATTTGGTCTGCTCGTCACCATCCTATTTATCAATTGATAGAAGTTGCAGATGAAGAACAATTACTCAAACTTCATCCAAACATACAT